CTATACTGTGAACCAACAAAGGAAAGGGGTCACAAATCAAGATACCATATCTTTGAAAGTTTCCTCTACCACTGGTGCTCTTTTCTTCAATATGACAGACACAAAATAACCCAGTGAACACACACATTTAGCATATAACATACTGTTCATAAAACATAGCAATGACAGATCTGTAATATAAACTAACTAGCTTATACAGTACAAAGATTTTTGTGCTTTGCTTCTTAAAGCAATGATTAGATCTCTGCCACTTCCCCCCTACATTTTTAGAACAAGGACTCATATTTTAAAAAACAGTGTGTACATGTTTTTTTTTAATCTCATCTAGAACTTCACACTTCACACACAGAAGGATAAAACCTCACTTCACCTTTAACAGGTGCATTTTGTAGAGAAAAATTAATTACAAATGCTTACTTGAATGAGATCTAATGAAATCAGAGAAACATTAATATACCTCTTCTGTTTTTCAAGTGAGTTAAGTAACAAGACCATAATAAATGCTTTAAAAAAAACCCAAAAGCACCTCTTAGTATTCAAAGAAAGAAGACAAATTGAATAGTTAAAAAGTTTGCTACCAAATGCTATAAAAATATTCTTTTCCTGTGAAGAACACCAAGACATTTTCTAAACAAAATGACAGAGTTCATGTTGGGAAAAAATCTATCCTTAAAAGCAACCAAATAAGAAGCACTCATGGACACAGCAGCCTAAGAAAATTTACAGGAAGAGGCCAAGAACCATTTTTAATGCTGTTCAGTTTCTACTGCAGTTCTGGAACCTTTACTAGTTGTTACACATGAGAGCAAAGTCTGCTTTGCTGGGTATCTTTATTTTTCACAGTAGTCTCTTCAGTTTCCAAGCCAGTGCACATTTTTCCAATGTCAGTCTGTTTTAATAGAAACTGTCATTTGTGAAATGGAGACACAGAATTGTAGAAACTACATGGAGCCTTAAACACATAAATCTAGAAAAATTACAAGATTGTACTTTAACCACAAATACATTCTTCTGCAATGCACCTAGGAAAGCTGCTCACGACTGCTTAAGGCCATGTTTGCATTCACTACAAAGGTTTGTGATTTGGCCTCCAAACTTACCAGGTACTGAAAAAGGACCCTTCTCTGAGCTGGAGATGTTGGCAGCCATCAGAGTATAATTCTGGATCTGGCAAACACTTGTCCTGCAATTCAGGTCAATGTGAACAGAATGCAAAGGTCGGAAAGCAAGTAGATGCTTGGCAACATATTAACAACAGATCACACATATGGGTTACAATATCATCACACATGTAATGTCAGTTTAGCTATGGAGAAATAAAATTAAAGAATGCTGATTTCTAGCTAACTCTTACCTGCAGCCATACATGCTAAATGGTGACTTATACACATAAGGGTGACATTCTCAGACTTTTGTTTCTAGCTTTATTTTTTTGGAACTATTTTAAAACTACCCACATAACTATATTCTTTATAAGCATCTAGACAAAGTTACTCTTGCCAGAACAAGAGCCAAATCTAACTCCAGCACACAGTAGCATAAAAGAAAATGGTGTATCAGCAAACTCCTGATCTGAGCGAAACATACTTTTCTAGTGTTCAGTCATTACTACAGTTCTATTTAATTGCAATCAGAAGATACACAATGTATGGCTGTAACTGTCCTACCAGAACCTGCTGATTCTCATTTTCTTCATCCTTTATTAGCAGATGTTACCACAGTTGGTATTTTTCCAAGAAAAGCAGAAAAGGTACAAGTCCTGTCTTATGACTGAAGGCTATTTCCAGGTATGTAGATTACAATTAGACTGACCATCCACCAATTAGGTTTATGCTGAAACTGACTCTTTGGCATCTGAGAATAAAGCAACTGATGAAGCAGAAAAGTTAATACACAGTATTTACCTTCCCTGAGCTTCTAGATAACTCAGTGAGCAGAAGAGCTGGTCTGTATGAAGTGTAAAGACTGCATCAGAGTATTCTGCAACGTGCCTTTAAGCTAATATTCACATTTTTGCCAGTTTTACCCAGTTTCCAGTGATGCTCTCTTGAAAATAACAGTGATAGACTCATTCTTCAGTTAAACTCTCCAACCAATTAATCGTATTCCAGTTTGAAATCCTTAACTCTGATAGGCCAGAATGTTAGGAATGTTAACACAAACCAGCATCTATTTTCTCAAGTCCTGCAGTTTTTGATTGTCTCTGGTATTTATCTATGCCAGGCTGGGCAAAAGCACAACAGCAAAACTTGTCCCTCTCCAGGTGGGTAACCTGAAACCATGGAGGCCAATTTTAGTCAGAAATTAAAACCTTACATGAGGACTCAACTAAATAGAGGCAAGAAGAATGTGAGCTATACACACCCATTACACACAAGTGAAGTTATAGAAATTGACCTTTATTTAACAATCAGTTTCTGTAACTTTTTTTTTTTGATACAAAGTGACATTTTCATTTAGTACAGAAAAATCCATGTCAGAACAGTACCTGTCTGTTTCAGTTGTACCACTGGAGTCTACTCTGACCTCAAACTTTAAAAAACAAACAAACAAAAAAATGAGATAAACAAAAAACAACTTCTGTCCCTCACCATGAGAAGTACTTGGACTAGTAATTCATCCACACCATTTCATATTAATTTATATATACAGTATTATAATAGTATGGTACAATACTATTTAAATACTATATATATTTTATATGTTTTATAGTTCAGAATACTCTGTATAGTGTATGACTATATAAATACTATAAAAAGTATTTTGAACTATAAAATAGCATCAGTAAAACAGATTTTAAATTTAGGACCAGACCTTTCTTTGAAGAACTGTGCAAGAAGAATCCCTTTTTATAATTAAAAAAGCTGCAAACAGAAGCAAAATTACAGCCTGTAGTGTAAAATAGAAACCCTACACAACGAAATGTTAGAAACAGTGACCGAGAAGCAGTTCTACTCAAATAATATTTTAAAAACAATTAAAATACAGTACTCAGGAAACATGGCACAAGAGACAGAAGAGACAGGTACAAAACCTGTGTTAGGAACACAGAGCCAGAAGTGCAAAAAACCAAAAAGGGAATCGATACAATATAGTTTGGAACAACAGGTAAATAAGTATTGCAACGAAAACTAAACGATCACTTATTTTTTGACAGTGAAAACACTAACAATTTAGTACCTTTCTAAAGGCTTTTAATCAAAGCCCTAAAACTGTGGCTGCTCTTAAATAAAAACAACCTATGTAAATGCTACACACTGAAGTACAAAGCTTAAGAATTACCCTGCAAAATTGCACCAACATAAACTTTCCATATTTACAGTATCTAAAAGTGACAGAACACAGCATGCCAGGCCTAGCTTATGACTTTTCCGCACCAGTACTTAATCCAGGCCCAACAACCAAAAATTATTATTTCTCAATACACATTAAGCTTGGATTGTTCAGATATATTATGACGTTTAAATATTAGATTCATGCATAAAACAAGAAACGATCTCTTCGACAGACAAGCGTTGACAGGATACAAACAGTGGTCTGCCCTGCAGAGGAGTGTACTTCCTTCTGAGCTTACTCCCAAGACGTACCGATTCAATCCCACGTTATTACCTGGTTGTCAAGTCAACAATGTGCTTAGAAATGGTCAGGATTTTAATTAAGAGTCACATTGTGCATAAACTGTCCGCTCATATTCAGAAATTGCACTCCATTTTGGAGAGTTACCTCATTAACTGAAAGGACACAGAGTTAAAAAAACGAAACAAAAAACATTCAAGTAAACAGCAACAACCAAATACTTTGAAAAGGTTTTTGTAAACTTGTCATTCTACAGGGTTTTGCAGCATTGTTAAATTCATTACTCATGGACAAGTACACACAGGTCACAACCCCTCGTGACAACCTGTCCTGTGTACACGTACGACGTGAGACAAGCTCGGTGAAGTGATCTACCCCTTCCCACATGCCTCTTCAGGTCCTTGTGTGTTCAGTGTTATCATTCCCCTTCATGAAACAGGAATCACTTACAGATATCCTTATAAAGACAGAAATGAACAGAGTCCATTGGATAGAAAATTAGTTGGTTATTTACATTTGCAAAGTAGTTTTACAATGAAATAAATCTACAGCGGGCCAGCTGGGATCCACAGGACTTTGTTTTGTTCTTGGTCGACAGTTGTCATAATCTGAGTGCAAATGCTTGAAAGGGCTCCACCCTGGACAATGCCTGAAGAAGAAGACACCCCACACACAAGTAAGACCAGAAGAAATGGTTATAACTAATTACAAAGACATGTTTTCTGCATTTTTCTTTAAAATGTTCATCAGCAGATCAGAATTAAGGAACTCAATTCAATATTTGACAGATGCAGGATTCTATTAAAAATAAATAAATAAACAGAGCAAAGAGGTCAAGCATCCAATAGACAGTTTCTTCTGCTAGCTCTTAAAACAGTCCAGGGAAGTCACAGAACTAAAGGCTATAATCAACTAAGACAACTGTTTTGTAAGAGGCCTCCATGTACTATTTTCAGAAGCATCAGGTGGCAAAGTTTAAGTCTAAAGATGGCCAGAACTTGCTATAATAAACCTTCTCTGTTCAACATGTGGTGTTAAGAGTTTTATATTTACAGGGTAATATACATAGAGACTACAGCTGTAGCAACTAGACACTATTTACAAATATTACAAGTAAATTATGAGGCAGCTCACAGATCATTGAGCTAAATAAAACAGCAGTGGTTGCTACTTCAACTCTTATTGTCAGCTACATTCAAGGAACAAAAGGCCAACAGCAAGCAACTCCCTGAAAATCAATTCAAAAGATAAATGAACACCTTTCATTCTACCATTGCTAAACATAACAGTCATAAAAAATAAAATGCCAACACTGACACAGCTGAGGATGATGTATTTGCTTTAAGACTTGAAAAGTGAGGAACTTCATGGCTTGAGAAATATGTCAGCAAAACCTCTGCCCACAGCAACCACTAATGCTGAAAAAATATGGAAAGTCTTACACAGCTTAAGGTGCAATTTTTCTTTTTGAAAAGAGAGAATTTGATGTCAGATAGACTAATATTTGACTCTGCAATGCATACTACAGTTAACAACGTCTGGTGAGTTTGGACACAGGACCCAGTAACTGACAAGGTGACAAATGGCAGTGGGGAAGTGATTCAGATTCCACACTGCGCTCACAACTTGGTACAGCAAACAAAGCCACCTTCAAAAAGTCATTAGTCAAAGTGTACTTCGTGAAGCAGTCACAGAGTACAGGTCCAAGAGAGTGTGTCATATCTTCTTGAAGAAGCTACCATGTACAACAAGCCTATCTGCAGGCTTATTTTATGCACATTATAATTTCAACAAGCTTCAATGTCAATGCAGTTTGAACACCAAGCCTCTCTGACTACCAGCATCTGGAAATGTGGATGACAGCTGGAGTGCACTGTACTTGCAGTAACAGAGGGAGGCCCTTCCCACAGGGCATATGAGAAAATACATGTAAGACTCTGCTGGACTGAGTGCCACTTCCACTATTACAATGCCACAAATGACTAAACAAGAAGCAGAAGATAACATGTGGTGATGCAACCTGGCCATGTGCATGTCAAGTTCTGTGAAGGTTTAGTTTGTGGCACTTAAAAAACATTTGTGTGGCTACTATGTAACAGGTAATTGATTTTGTTGAGAACACACAGGTTCTCTCAGAATGCGCTGGGAGTGATCTATACTACATACACCCCCTTTCCCTCCCCTGAGCTTGGCAGTTATGCCTCAAAATATTTCTGTAAGAATCCCATGGTTCAGGGGCTGGAAAGTTGGATTTTGGCTAGTTTAGTGTGTTTGTTTTTCAGATTTTGTTGCCATACACATCAACATGCCTAAAATTTTATCCCCATTCTTTTGAATGTATGTGAACCACATGGAAATATTCTCTGAAATCAGCAGAGACAGTCTTCAAACACCATTTTCTTTCTCTGATAAAAAAACCAGTATTTACTACAATCCAAGGTTCATATCATATATTTTATGAAGTTAAAAAGGCTTCTAAATTTGAACATAAGTATGTGAAATTACTATGCGTGCTCAAGAAAACTCGGACGTTTTAAGTATGTCTCAAGTCCAAAAAATCACACAGAATCACAGCACAGTTGGAACTGGAAGTGAACTTTGGAAATCATCATTAATTAATTTAAACTACAAGGGTTTTATGTTGTTTTGTTTAATTTTTACAATTACAAACCCCCCCTTATATTCCCTACATGGTATAAAACTGACAAGACTGTGAAATTGTCTTGACCATACTTCCAATACTACATTTTCAGAATCTCTTTAGGTCATAAGATACTTAACATTTGAAACAAAAACATGTAGAAGCAAGGAATAGTACTTCCATCTTGACATTTCCTCACCCAGTAAATTAAAACAGAACATGAGTTTGTCAAAAGGGAAGGCAGAATGACAAACAATCTTGGAAGGAACACAGGATCTTTTGAATTGCAGTGTAAATGGATTAAATTGCCACTGTGTTCCTAGTGAAAGTTTGATTAAATACTAACCTGTAAAGTACTTGCTATACTCTTGTTCTATTTTTTGAGCTGTCTCAAATTGTTCTTTGGAATGTTTTTGTGTGACTTTGTCCCTCAGGAAGATTGGGTCCTTTTGCTCTCTGAAAAAAAATAAATAAAAAAAAACAGAGAAAAAAAAAGAAACACCTTGTATAAGCGTTGTTTTTTTAAAATGTACTTGAAAAGATTCCCTCCAGTTGGGTGAATACAAAGGCTAATTCACGTGCAAGCAGACTCCTAGGCCCAGAGTGCCATCTACTGTGTTTAAGCAGTATCAGCAGAGTCATCAGGATCATTTCAGTGCTAGAAAATTTACTTGCTCAGACCAAGACAGTATTCCTTTTAAGTTTCAGAGACTAAGAGGTGGTTGAGGAAAAAGATAATTTTTTCCAGTTCATGTGAATTGGATCATCATCTCATACGCATGTCATTACTCCCTGCACAAAATTGGGCACAAGTACTACTCTCAAAGACTTCTGAAGTATGAAGCATCAAGCAAATAGAATATTTCTATGTCATCTTACATAGGATGCATTTTTGAGATGCCTCTTTCTATTATACAAGCACTCAAAAATAAATTCCAAAAAAAAATAGAGAAATACAAAAGGTAAAAATTCATTATTTTAATTCTGATCAAGGCCTGTAACACTCTCCTCCAAATCTGACGTGGGGTACCCAGTAGAGGATTCTGTTTAAAAGGAAGCAGAATTTATATTCAGCTAATAAGGTCGTATAGATAGATACTGAAACAGTATAAACAGAGTTTCTCATAGCAGTGAGAAAAGCAGTACAATTTTGCTCTATAAATAATTTTTACCAATAATCCCTAAACTAAGCTATATTGCTGTGCAGCATTTCAGAGAATGCCAACAAAACCTGTGCTATATCAAAAAGGCTGTTTGGAAAAACCTTTAGTGCTCACAACAGGCAGAGAATGTGCCACTGCAACTTATATTGATGACTGCTGGAAATCCTTGCCTGTCCAGCTTGATTTCTCTCTGTCACTTTCCAAAAAAAGGAAATAGCTGTAATGGTCACCATTCCATTTCCAATGGGGTTCAAGACATAACAGTTCCATTTATCATTCAAGTGCACAATCCTACAATAGTAATGAAATACATCTCATTGCTCTATAACTTGCATCTACTTGAAAGTGGTGATACTTATCTTCTTCATTAAATATATAGTAATCAAATTTATCTAGAGATCAGGAATATAAGAAGTCTTCAACTTGAAAAATTAAGATAGCACAAGTATAAGATTTCTTAACAAGTCAAACATCAGGAGAGGAACTTGGATTTGAAACTCCTGTGTTCTGTCCTGGCTATTTTCAAGCAGGAAATTCACAGTTACTGAAAGAACATGGCCTGAGGAGATCACAGTACATACACTATGGGGCAAAAGGGGATTTCCCTTACTTTTTTCACTGGAAAATAAAGGCAGGAAAGCTGAGGTTATGAATCAGTTGGCACTGCATGCATACACTTGGACCTGCTCCGAAGATGAAGAACAGCTCTTTGTCATGGTCACCACTTAATTCTCAATGAAGAACTGTCTTAGAGTTTACTACAAATGTGAGCAGGAAAGATCCAAGGGCTTCCTGGAGTATATTCAGTTTAGTGTACATGGATTTATTTGAAAGATTCACTTAAGTGTCATGCAACCCAAATGAAATTAAGATCATATACCTCACAGAGTTTTTAATGAGGATTAATTTCCCCACTTTAAAGAGGTTTAAGATGACTAGGATGAAATAAACAATAAAGGTAAAACCAACTTATTTTAAGCTAGAATATATATCCCTGAACTATACCCCTCACAGACTTACTTGATTTGTTTAGCATTTTTGTAGCGAATAAAAATGACAATAGGGTAGATATGAACACTGTGGAGCCGTTCGATGGCATGAGGAGCGATGTCAAGCAGACAATGACAATCCTAAGATCAAATGTAAATGCAAAACACTCATTCAGTTAAAGAGCATGAGCACACATGCAAAACCCCCATTTTTTCCCCTACTTAAATCACAGCAACCCAAACACAATTTTGGTACACATTTAGCATTTTGGGACTACCAAGCAATTTGTACTCAAAGGATTTAAAACAAAAGACAGAAGATGAAAAACCGCAAGAAACTCCATTCATAGTACCAAAAGCATGCATTGATAGAAATAAAAAGCACTTGAAGAACTAATGAAATGAAAACTCAGATTGAAATATATGCAATACATTTCTTCAAAATTTAAATATTCATATTAATTTTCTCTTTCAGAAGTCATAAGCAAATACAAGTGTTAAAGTAGTAGGACTTTCCATGTGGTTTGACAAAAAACTGTAAGCAACGTGCAGACTTCAAGTAACATCTGTCTCCAGGATTATTATGCTGTTTATGTTCTATATGAGTGCATTAAATGGAATAGTTAAAAAAATTAAATCCTTGTTTGGAGAGGTAGGGGGGAGAATTTAAGAAAATAATTTCTAACTTTATTTAATAACACTGTGGAAGAATATGGACATTCCTAGTTTCTATAAAGGTGAATTTGCATAAAATGATCTTTAAACAGTTACATGCCAAAGTGAAGTAAGCTTCATTTTACTCAGTGGCCTGGGGAACAATTCTCTAAATGCCTTACAGGATGACGATGCTAACATAATTTCCATCCCTAGAGACTGTACAATTTGCAATTTATAGTCATACTAAGAACTACAGAACTAAAATTGACTCACCTTTTCTGTTATCTCTTTTATTGAGGCTACAGTTGTCACATCAAAGTGTCCACTCCTCCGTTTATAATCAATAAACAGACAGTCCTTCACACCTCTTTCAATGGCTTGCTGGGAAGCTTTCATAACCTCTGTTTCATAGAACCAGAAGAGATCCAGTTTCATGACTATTCCTTAGGCACAGAACAAGGCTAAAGAAACAATGTCTGCGTATTCAGATTCTTGGGGGTTTATCCATGTTTGCGTTATCACTTACTTCATTTATACAGATATTACTATCATATATTCTAACCAGGAATAAATTGATTATATTTGGCTACTTACCGAGAGGACATCTGCAAAATTTTCCAGGGGACTCTTTCACCAACATGTCTTTCACCGCATCAAGTAAAGGTCCTAGAATAAGGACAGGCCTAGGAGAGGTACAATCCACTTTCTGGACACGCTGATATGCCAAACTTGCAGTATCTACACACAGAGGAGAGATTTACTTGTGAAAGTGTAAGTTATTTTCCTGGCATTCCTTAAACAAGCAGAAGCACCGTAACAGTGACTATGAGAACAACTCCATTGCAAGGGCTAAGGGCCTTGACAACTACAAAAAATACTCCGTCATTACTGCAATTTTTTCCACTTCATAGATTGAAATAGACATTTTTCTAATTGCACCTGGTGTTTCTCCTCCCAGCTTCACACAGACTTGAAAACAAATCACCCCTGAAAGTGTAAACAATACACAGTATTTGGTATCTCTGGCAGTAAGCATTGTAACCAACATGACTTTTGTAAAGGAGTGAAGAAATAGAAGTGAAGATTTTTGTGTGGTGTGTAGGATTTCTGTCTAGTCTAATCAACCTCAACAGAAATTAAACAGTTGAAAGGAAGATCGAAACAGTGCATCAAGAAGAATCTCGCTCTCCAAATGAAATACTTAGTATACTAATAGGTCTAGGAATAAATTACCAAAAAATTAATTTTGAAACTCTCTGGCTTGTAATTTAACACACTCAAAAAATTGTTATTAGAAGCAATGACCACCATTTGTATCCAGAGCAAGCAGAGAGTAACACTGGTTGTTGTGCTGTGCTGCAGTTGATAAAAACCGAAAAAGATGGAAAGGTAGCCCTCTCCCAAGTATCACAAAGGTACTTGCCATCCAAGAAAGGAATTGAGTCTGTACTGATTGTATCAAGAGCCAGTAAATCCTTTCCATCTTTGGAACCACTTCGCTTGTGTTTGTGCTTTCTTCTGAAGAATGACCTCCGTGCTGCTGCTGACAATGTCTTAGATGAACTGTTTTCATCTTTAGCCTCAGACATGCTGTGTCTCCTGTAGAATTCCTGATCCATCCTACAATGAAACAGACCAAATGGGTGGTATTTAAATTTACCTTTTTTTAACTTTTTGACAGCATTACTGCTGCTTTTGGGACATGCTTGAAATGCTCATCTCAAGCCCAAGTACCTTTATCACACAAAATTAATCCAGAACAAATGCTAACATAAATCAAATAATAAGCATCTGAAAACCTTGTACTACCATAAATTCCTCAGGATTTCTTATAATATAAATAACTGCATGACACAGAGGTAACCACACTGACTAGCAGGGCAAACTTTTCCAAGGCAGAGCAGCAGTATGCACCTACTTGCTAGTAAAGGCAGCCTTACACAGCAGTGCAAAGCCTGTTCTCTCTATGAAGCTGCATGTTACCTTCATCCTTACAGATAACTTATTAACAATCCAAAATAACAATTTTATGCACTTTTGTTTTATATCATCACAAATGTTTTTGCCACGTAACATCTAAAGTTCAGTTGGCTTTACTATCCATCTTCCAGGAACAAGCGAATCAATGATGTGTCTGTATTTATACATTGTACTTTCACACATTTTCACATAGTACCACTGTCTGGAAGAATTTTGACTTATGACATGGAGAGATGACTATTTGAAGAAAAGGAAACCAGAAAACAAGTGCTCTTAAAATGAAAAAATATTTTAATCACTGAGCAATAATAACTGTGATTTCAGTAACAATATAAAAATTTTAGTTAGCCTCCTCTGAGCTGCTATACCAACATGAGATTTCGATGGATACACAATCTCAACAACATTACTGTCCACACATAACTAAAAACACTTGATGTTTCCCAAGAATGACTGCAATAAATGTGGGTTCAATGCTATTTTTTCTGTAGTTACTCTCATATAGAATTATTCTTAATACAATAAATGTGGGTTCAATGCTATTTTTGCTGTAGTTACTCTCATGTTTGTTAATGATTCTATCACAACACTGGTCTATGTATCTTTGCCATTTCCAGGTTACTCTTTAGTAGCATTAAAAACAACTCGATAAAGCAATATATTTAATTCCATTTTATTAAAATTACTCTTTAGTAGCATTAAAAACAACTTGATAAAGCAATATATTTAATTCAATTTTATTAAAGTATGCCATCCCTAAAATGACATGTCTAAGAATTACTATCTCTGAGTAAGAACAGAAGCAAACAAGTCTTTTATACTGTGTCTCACTAGTTAGACTTTTAAAGACTCTAAGATAAATACTCACATATATTTACTTGGAATCTGTCCTCTTTCCAGCTTCTGAGCATTCTCATCTAGCTGCCAAGCCATCCAGCAACCAAAATTTCCCTGTGGTAGAGTGTCATCCACATACAAAATGTCATCCTTCTTAAAGCTTAAATCCTGTTCCACCTCTGCCACACGATCATAAAGTGCTCTGGAGAGGAAGACATAAACAGGCTCTGAAACTGGTCTCCATCAACTCAAAAGAAGAACACAATTTTTGAAACAAGTGAACAGAGGAGCGACACACTCTACCTTTCAAGAGCACACAAGTTTACAGCAAAATGTGCAGACTTACTGTAGGATAGAATGTATACTCACTGTCAAGAGACTAGCTGGGATAAATTAGTAATCTGTGAATTTAAAAAAACATTGCAAAACTGATGTACTACCTGTCTCCTGATGGTCAGCATATTATCCTAACAGCCTTATGGTGTCATTACCAGTCACGCTCAAATACCTGATGTAGAATCCATCTCCAGGAAGGTCTTTTATTTTATTAAACTCTTCTATTCTGTACTGAGTCTTTATTTTGATGTTTTCTCCAGGCTTCAACATTTCAAGATAAGCTTCCTCAGCTGTTTTATTTCGCATATCAATGGACCCATACTGCAAAACACAGACCAGAAACCCTTAGGTATGAAATTCTATCTTAACAAGAAATAGAACTAGGTGAGCTTGAAAAACATGCAAAATGAGGTTGGTTTTTTTTCTCACAGGCAGGTTCTATATACAAGTACATCTTGTCACTTCACTCCAGTACAGTGTGCACCTTAAGATGTCTAGCAGGAGACTGAGACATTTCAGTGGAAAACAAAAACTCCAAGTGAACACAGCAGACATGCCCAGGGAGAACTGGAAAACAAAAACTCCAAGTGAACACAGCAAACAGGCCCAGGGAGAACTGATCTGAAGGAAGTCAAACAATTACGAAGCAAAATTTCCATCTGGATACTAGAGGTGCAACTGGAGACTCTCAGTACTCAGTTGTACCTGAAAAGCTCATAAACACATATTTGCTTATCGCCCTAACAGTCCTGACAAGTAGATAAATCTTCTTGTTTCAGACATAGAAAGCAGAGTCAAAGACATATTATATGGTTTTCCATAAAGTCTCATTAGAATTTCATAGTGATAAGATCAACATTATTCTCTGGTTTGCAATATCTTTCATATCCTTGCCCTTCTCCTATGTCCAGCAATGCAATTTAAAGTTTCCTATTTAGATGAAGGGAGCAGGTGTTTATAATTCCAAGTGGGCATACATTAGTCTTTCAAACTTCTGGGCATCTTGTGCTCTCAACAGCAATAGTTCCCCAGGTCCATATCATCCAGCTCCTGACGTGTCACAGCCAAAATGCAGGTTCTGAATTCTCACCATTCTTAGCTGGTTTTTGTGGTTCAAAATGCACAGAACATTTCCCACTGTGAGACAGCACACCTCTTTGTACCTCCCTCTTTATATCATCCCAGTCATTTTTTCAGTACGCTGCAGACCTTTTGTAACAGCTTACCTCAAGTATCATGTCACCCAAGACTAGTCCATCAGGTCCTTTTGCTGGGCTATCATCATCTACGTCTGAGACAAATATTCCATACAGGTTTCCACCACATATCTGGATCCCAAGATCGACTTGGGATTTTTTAACAACAACAGTTCGAGGTTCTGGGGTCCTTTTGTTTGTGTCCACAGGGCCCCTTTTGATAGAAAGAAAAAACACATGTACTAGAATTTAAAAACTTGCATTGCATACAATCTATTAGCCATCTGAAGGATACATATTTACATAATTATCATTTAGCCATCTGAAGGATACATATTTACAGAATTATTAACCAGAATAGGTCACCTACAAATACAGTCTGATATGACAAACAACACGTTCCTTGCAGACCTTCTCAACTAAACCAATCTTGTAGTAAACCTTCTTCACTCATTGCAGACACCATCTTTCAGAAATAGTTTGAAAAAACATAGTTTTATCCTGAGGTCCACTTAACTTGTGTGCTAACTCATTTCAACCAGCCACAGAATTCACAGGGGTAAATTTTGTTTTTTCATACCCTTCACATCCACCCTGACCATTTATTTTCTTTAAGACATAAATTTCACTCTCTACCTTAAGGAATTCCGGGGACTTGTGGTTGGCGTGGTTTGTTTGGATGGTGGAGTCATTGTTCCTTCATCCTGTTCACTCACAGTATCGATTACGGAATGATTGTCAGGTGTTGCAGCTCCACTGCCTTGAGGGGTGGAATGATTACTCACAGGTTCTAGACGAGAACTAAGAGGGGAAACGAGACAGAATAAAAGACTGGTGGGTTAATGCCAAATATTTTCCACGCAAACATTTTAATTTGGCTGGAAATCAATTTTTAAATATGGAGGAAAAACCCCCAACACCATAATCAAACCAGCATACCAAATACTATCTGTTCACTGTAAGTCTAAGAGAAAGACAAAGCTCTGTTTTGAAGTGTGGTCATGCATCAAAATAGGATAGGGTAATTTCACTAGGTCAGACACCTCTACTTAGTTTTTGGAAATTCCAATTATTAAAAAAAAAAACAACCAGTATAAAGTATTTGCCAGAATCTCATAATCCTAGGAAGAAGTAATCTTTGGTTTTATATTTAGTGCATTTAATGATTATGCCCCCCAAAAAGAGAAAATATAGTTAGATGCATCACACATTTTTCTTTTGTTTTTGACAAGCATGTCTTCACACATTACTTACCGAAGCAACTGCACTCCTTATCAGCATAAATGTGCTTATGTTTGCAAACACATTACCTGTAAGAAGTTACCT